AGTTCTTCAGTTAATCTACATAAGCTAACTTCTGGGTATTCTAATTGTGCACAAGAATCATCATTTATAACTGATTCTTCAATAATCGTTAGTAATTTTTCTGTAAAAGTTTTAGGTGAATTATAGAAGTTTGCAGACAAGCGCCTCAGTAAACATTCTTGCACAACTGTCTCTTTCAATGGCTTTTGATGTTCCAATGAATGTAAAAATGTTTTTAATTCAAAAGAACTAACTTGCTCTTTTGAACTAGTCTCGCTATTTGTTAAATCATACTTCTGATCTTCTTCAGTAGAATGGAAATCATTCTTCTTGTTTGGTAAAATAGAAAGCTTTGACAATGACAATGCATTAAATAGAGTTGGGTCAATTTTCTCATGGCTACTTTTTGTAGCAGTATTTGCAGATGCTACAGAAAAGTATCTAGCTTTAATATTATGATTTGTATCCCTCTTCAAATTACTATTAAGCATACTACAGCTTTTAGATCTTTGAAGTTTTTTGTTAATTACATCTTTGTTCTTTATTGATATGGTTACATCATCCAATGAGTTTAATGACAAAGCACATGGACGATCTCTAATTAAATCACATTGCACCTCTACAGTCTTATTTTTCTTTAAGTGACAATGATCGATATCTTTGTTAACTTTAATCTCAGATAACATGGAATCATAATTTGGATGTTCTTCAAAAGTATGATGTTCCTTGCTTATATGCTCGTTATGAAACAGATTTATACATTTATTTAAATCAGGTTTCAATGACAAATATGATGTTTCATCTGACACACTTAATATGTTTCTTAATAAAGATTGATTATTATTATATGTGATATTACTATCGTGCTCAGCAATCTCACAGAGATTTGATGAAATATATTGCTGATTGTCTAAACTACCTGCTATGATAATAGAAGCACGAGATTCATTATTGCTTAGATAGATGTGCCTATCACTTTTATATTGTGTGTTTCTTATAGAATCGATTTCTGAGTTGTCCTCTAAATCTCTTTGCGATGCAATCAAATTCTGTTTTTCTTCGGGTATTGTTTGATCTGTAAACATGCATATTTATTTAAGACTATATTCAAACTACAACCTATAATAAAGTATAAAATGAGAGAAAATGTTATATCTAAGATTGTTGTTTACCTAATAAATCTACAGAAAGTTTCTTGAATATGTGAAACATATATATATAATATAAAGCTCACGCTTTATACTATACATATATTTTATGTGTCATAAATTATAATTGTTTGAAGCCGGCTTAGCAATATAATAGATATATATAATAGATACGTAATAGATACATAATAGATTTCATGAAATTTCAGTTATAAGGTACAAAAACATTATTACACTTACGAAAACTGGTTAAGGAATCTGTGAAATCATTAGCACGTCTTCGTCGATTGTTCATTTTAACCTTATATTCCGCCGAGTATAACAATTTTAATGCAAAAATAGATCGATTTTTATATCCAATTCTTTCAGAAATTCATAGAAACGTGAGACACCTGTAACGGCTTAATCAAATTTATGCTGTATTACTTATTTTTGAACGATCAGGTGCACCAACCTAATTGATCACGTGTAATAATATATCGGTCCTCCTATCTCCTATGCTTTCGTCCATGGATATAAGAAATAATTGAGAGGAATGTTACTAGTATAACTTGTACCTACTGGACAAATATAGAAATGGAAGCGAGACGTATGTAATGTATCAAATTAAAAATACAAAAATCGGGAAAATTAAATTCAAAGAGAGAGAGGGAAAAACATTTCTATCTCGTTTGTTGCAATCCTATCTCTGGCTTCCTTACGAACAGTCTATACTTTCTATGGTTTATGATATTTTTATATATATATACGCTTGTTCAAGAAACGAGATGTCGACTATATCTTATATAATCTGTGGACTACATTGTATTTTGAAGAGAAATTGTAACAATAGCGCATATTTTAGTTTAAAGAAAGTTTAGGTTTTTCAAATTCAAAACTTTCATTTACTCTGATGAATCTGGATCAAGAAGAAAACGTCGTCTTTTCACCACCTACTATATACGATCAACAATATCCGGATTTCGTAGAAAATGTACTAAAAGAAGCAGCCGACGATTTTGAAAAAGAAAAAAAATGTATGTAGTTCGTGATTTATCTAAATTAAAATTTATCGGTTATTTATAGAAAGAGGAATTGAATGAAATCGGAACGAAAAAATTAAAATTAAAATTTGTTAAATATCGCAATAATCTTTCCGGTTGTCTTGATAAAGTATTAAATATTTTCAGTTTCTGATCAAAATCTATTAAAACTATACAAGCTATTTAATAGAACATTTGAAAGAGCCTTAGATTTATATGAACAAAAACGAGTGACACAGGTTTCGACATCTAGTACGATTATAACAGAGCCATACAAGAGTGTAAGCGAGGTCAGTTGGTTGATGCAAGTTAAAGGACACTCTGGAGTATCATACACACTTTTTCCTGAAATAAATTATTGTACTTGTACAGCTTTTAGGTATAATATTCTATATAAATCACTTATATAGATTTTAACAGAATAGCAAAATATATTTTCAAAATTTAACATATAATAAATAGCTTATATATATTATAAAAAAATCTTTATATGTGGCTTTTATAATGTTATAGACATCAGGTACTGAGAGATCGGTCCGCTTTTACATGTAAACATGTTTTGGCAGCTTGGCTAGCCAGTGTTGATAATGAAAAGTTGTTGCACCAACAATTAACGCAGAAACAGTTTGATAATTTATTATTATATCAGGTTTCGTATAAACATAATGCTCTCTAACATTGAAGATTACTTGTTGGTTGCAAAAATGGGATTGACAAATTTAAAGACTGTAATACAATTATTAAAAGCTATTAATTTTAAGGAGGTACTTTAATACATTTATACTTATGCTTATTTCTATTGTGATGCAAAATACTCATATAATATTACTCAGACTACAGCTATTTGCTTCGGCAGTGAAAATGGATTGAAAATTACAGTAGAAGATGCAAAATGTATGCAGGCTACTGTATATATCCCATCTGCAGTTTTCGATGAATTTGAATTGAAAGAGGATGTGACTTTTTCATTAAGTTTAAATATATTAGTAGAGTGCCTTTGTATGTTCTGGCCAGCATCCCAAGATAATTCAGTTGCAGTGCAAATGTTTTACAAAGTAAACTAGATATCTTAATAAAACTAGTATCATATATAATGTTAAGACCATATCAATATTGTTATTATTATCCATCATAGGGTACAGGTTATCCTGTAAGTATTATCATTGAAGAAGATGGTGTCATCACAGATTGCTCTTTGAAAACGCTAGAGGTAGATACATTATTAGATTTTCATCTGGAGGCCGAAAATATTGTAAATAAAGTAGTGTTGCAAACAGAATTGTTAAAGGATATCATAGCTGAATTAGATCCAACTAGCGAATTAGTTGAGGTATAATGAGCATAATTTTATTAATCATTATCTAATTAAGTAGACAATATCAGCTTTTTAAAATACTATGTTCACGTTTTAGTTTCATTTGTCACCAGATGATCCTTTCTTCAGAATTAGCACAAATGGTCTAGGCGGTATTTGTCATATTGATTTACCTCACGATAGCGCTTTGATAGATACTTTTCAATGTACATCAACGGCAACATCCAGTTTCAAATTAGCACACATTAAACCGGCGATGAAAGCGTTATCGTGTGCTAACAAAGTTTGCCTAAGAACCAGCAGTGCTGGAATATTAAACTTTCAATACATGATAAAAACCGAAAATGGGCATACTTGTTACATGGAATATTATGTAAGACTTTTTATAACAAAGTGTAATAATCAGAGAGCTCTTAATAGTTTAATAATTCCACAGCATGCATTCTCTCTCTTTATACAACAATCAGTTAATATGATACTTTATACGTGGTACATCATAAAAATTTCATATCTTTCATTTACAGATATCTCCATTAATAGATACGGACGATTAAATAGTGATATACATACTTTAATGATAACAGTAATATGCCCAGATGCCTATTTGTGTGGAAAGTTCTCTATTACTAATGATTAAATATATTTAATACATACCTTTTAATTTATACTTTTTTTTACATCTTCAGATATTTTAGATCTTTCTTTTAAATATTGTATAGTTTTATTTTTCGCTATATACATATTTATGCGCGTTTTGAAAGAATTACAAGGTAAAAAGATTGTGATGAAAATGCGTGTCCACATTTCCATTAATCCTTATTTGTAGAAAAGAACATATTTTTTATTTGGTTTCATACACAATAGGTAATGCAGTTACACTGCTGTACATGGAACATTATGTAGTACGTAATATGTAAATACATCAGAAAATGTGCACAATGTAAGCGGCTAATATTTGTTTCAATTATTATTTGCTATACTCATTTTATAAACACATGCATATTTAAAGATTAAATATGAATTAAATATATAAATTCTAACTTTGTAGGAAAACAACGTATTGTGCGTAATTTTTTACATTACACTTTGACACAAGTTATGAAGGGTTTACATATGTGATCCAATATGCATGCTAATGCATAAAAATACCTTATTCGTGCTCGAACGACAAGATTTTAAACAGTAATTTACACCTCTCTTCTAAAAGCATACACGGTTGTGCACGCGTCTCATTGTCAGTTTTCTGAAGTGACTCTTATTCCTGGATCTTATATACTCTTGTGCAAACTATGTCATCAACTTTCATAATCTGTAATAGAAATAGCATAATTTCAGTAATATTTTATAGCAATAGATTTTGCCATAATAGTAATTCTTCGTATCGATATTATGGCAGTAATTTCTACACAAGATAGAGAGAGAGAAAAGAGTGCGGGAATTATTCGAGCGCCGGTATCTCACGGCATTAACACGTATCGCCAGACGGATCAATGGATCTTTATTGGCACCGTTTTGGACCTCGGAGCTGCAGAATTGTACGTGTCACGAACAGGAGAAGCGCACGCGATAATTGGCCGGACATTTGACGGATCATTATAACATTAGCCGCTCGTGCAACGGTCCCTTGATGTATTGCGTTCCTGCACGTAGCTTTTGTACTTTAATCGGGAACCGCATAAGCGATATACGCATCAAAGTGTTTAGAAAGAAAGGATGTAAGCACGTACGAATGCATCTTCCATTACGATTAAGCACGTCATTGTTATAATGATCCAATTTGTGTTCTATTATGAATTATTAGTTAACATACTGAGATATTTAAAACAGTAATCTTGAATGTCTCTGTTATAAATATAGATAATAACGAAAATTGCTTACTTTGAAGTAGAAATATAACAACAGTTAAAAGGCAATTTTTTTGAAGGTAATAATAATTTTATTATTATTTTTCTATATGTTTGCGTGCAGGCAAAATAATAAAAAATATAGTTTTATAAATATCATATCATATATTAATGATATCTCGTTCAAATGTTTCTAGTTATTCTCTATATAATAGAATAATAAAGACACACAGTTACAAGTTTGCCAGTTTATAATCTTCGCAAACTTCCATACAAGAGAAACATGGAAACACAAGATAGTTTTTGTTTAGTATTTGCTTGGTTAAAGGTCATGTTATCTTAACAGTACAACGATCAAGTATTATTGATCTAAAAGTAAGAAGGCATAAGTAATAAATATTCTTACACAGGTCATAATTATATATATATAAGTTATAACAATTTTATTAAAATTTTATAAAACATTGATCTCCTTTTACGTCTTGAACATTGAACTCAATTTTTTGCATCAATATTTTATATATAAATTTCGATCATGTATTGATTAAGCTATATGGCTGCGAGAATTATTACTTATATTTTACTAATTTTAGATTATTATAATAATTTGTGTTACTTTATATTATATTAGGCTGTTTGATCGCTTTTATCGAAAATTAACGATGTCTTTATGATAAATATGCAAGTAAATTAATTTTTCTTAATTTTAAAGATCGCTTACCGCTTTCATCTCTGTAGGTGTGAATTCCCTTTCAATCGTAGTATCCTTATCACCTTTCTGCACCTGTATGAGTTTATCCCCTTCCAGAGTACAGACACTCTTCACTTTTCTGCCGTCCACAGTGTCTTCATCGAACTCTTCGCCGAGTTTGAATTTTATTTCCGTGTTTTTGAAGGTACTAGTCGTCTTCAGAGTATATACTCCGTCTTTCTCCGTCAATTCGACGACGGGACTGACAGTAGCGCCCATTTTCCGCGTCACCATACCCACGCCTAAAACAAGGTGGAAATTATTTAAAATCGTCTCAAATTTTACTAGCCTTTTTCATTATCAGAATTATAATTTGTCAGATGCCACTTTTACATAGATGGTTCGTTTTTTCAAGTTTATTAAATACTATTGTTCTCGTAGACATTTTAATATTTTGCAAATTCTATAAATTGAAACAGATGTCGAAGCTCTTTCCATATGTTAACAAATTGACATTAATATATATTTAAATTAATTGAAAAAAATATTAAAGATTAAGCATAAAAAAGTTGTATTCTAAATAAAAATTAAAATAAGATAATATACTATACAATTAACGAAGAATATATTATGATATCGTATCGAGCTTTGATAATCTTTAAATTACATATCTATTAAAAAAACCACTTGTAATTAAATGGAAGATGAAATTAATTTTGTTATTATTTTGCACACTTGAAGTTTATCTCTCGAAAGACTCACACATTTTTCTATCGCTATAATATAAGAACCGTTAGTCCCACATTGTTGTTAAGAAATAATCAATTTCTGATTGGTTAGAGAATCAATAGGTAAAAAGATATCATGATAAATCTCGGATAATTTGTACCAAATACATTGAAGCGCGTGTCGTCTCACCTAAGGCTTTCATGTACTCGTCGAAATTTTCGCTCGTTTGGAGCTTGTAATGCTTGCCTAGAATACCGGTTAATATCTTGGATGACATTGTTCGATGTTTCACCGATGCCTGCGTGAACGAAACTGACTAATGGCACGGCTGGTTTGCATGTTATATACACGCTTTCACAATTGATGAGACTACATATATCAACTAGGTAGGTAGGCTGACTTATATCGTATAAACAGCAGAGTTGTTATCCACGAGTTAAAGTTCGAGGCGAGATGTAACTTTGAAGTTTGAACCCAGAACCAAGTGAGTGTGTGCTATTTATAGATTGCGAAAAAATTATCTCCGTCATAATGATATATTAACACATGCGAATTTGTAATACACACGAATACTAATACGTGCCGAAGTTTGCCAAAAATTACTGTGAACGGAAGAGATATCTCTCCTTTTACAATGATTTTTTAAACTATAGGATATATAGTTAATCGCGTGTCTTATCTTAAATGCGGTCAAGCTAATATATTTCTAATGGCAATTATTCTATTGATGAGAAGAATATATGATGAAATATCGGCGAGAATGAAATCTGTAATCATTGACTTGATTCCTATTTGACTAACATATTTTCAATGAATTATTCAATAATCTTTATATAAGAAAAAACTATTAAAACGCGACTCTCTTAAAGAGATTACGTGTCTTTGCAATAAACGACAAATGTCATTTGATTTAAACTGACATAATATTAAAAATTTTGTGACCGTTTAAACTCGTATTCAACGAATGTGCGGCAGGAAAAAATATTCTTCTAAGCTTTTACGAGAAAAGCGAGGTACTTTTATCTTGCAGCAAAATGATAACAAAATTACAAGTTTACATTCGTGCCAAGCCGGTGACGCTTATCGATTTTATCGCCGCCTTACTGCGGTTTTGCCTTTCTGCGACATAACCGACTTGACGCACGGCAATGCGTCGAAAGACGCGATGCGTCTAGACTTGCTCTCTTATTTAATTTCCGGCGAATGACTCTCGATGATTACCGTAACAACGTTGAACGAGGGCGGGAATGTTGACGGTCAATGAATGGTTCTGCAAACTTTGCTTGATCCGTTGTATCGTTAAATTGCTGATAATACAAGAGCACGAGAGAGAAACAAAAAGAATATATATGCGATATTATCTGTCTTTTCTTTTTATCTATTTCTTATCTTTGAGCCAACAAACTTTAGACATGTGCAATGATTAGTTTCGATAAAGATCTAATCTCTTGACGAAGTTAAAATAAGGAGAATTTCCCTTCTTTTATTAAAAAAAAATATATATATTTGTTTAAAGGCGTTTTTGTTTTCAGAAATAGAATTTAATGCCATTTTTGTTATTTGTAAAAAAAAGATATGTGATATAAATCGCTAATTCTACAATATTTCGAAGAGAATTTAAAATTTGGGGATGCAGATATGTTTTGAACGTGCAGTTACGTGACCCACGACTAACAATTATGATTTATTAATCTCGTCGATGAATTAATTCTCAAGTGTTAAATTAGACAGTCAATCAGACAATCCGCAGTACACGGTTGGAATTAAGATCGAGGTCAGGTCGTTGCACGAAGATGAGGGCGTAATTTGATGTATTAAAATTGATTACCTTTCCCGTCTTTATTGATATCTCGCTAATGCACAAGCATGAATCCAGCATAGTTAATTAAATAATTAAGCTTATGGTATAACAGTACAGGCGGAAGTTATTTACATTGAATTATATTTTTAATGAATATACGGAGTTGTATGTCAAAACTAAAATAGAAATGTTTAAAATTATAAATCGATCGACCTGCCAAGATTAATATATTTTTCGTTGATATATGATTTCGTTGAGATATGTTTTCTCGAGGATATAATGTTTTCATGAAATTCTGTGAAAGAGCAGTGTTATTTCGAGTGTTATCGTCCTTCGAGATATCCTTTGATGTTTACACCGCAACTTTTCGTGCCTTTCATATAATAGTCATATGTTTGTTCACGTTCTGTACACGCTCGTAAAATCGCAATGTGCCTATATTTGCGAATATATATAACATTTACAAATATAACGTGTGCTAACAACAGATCTTATTACAATAATATAGTATATCCTCATAATGTGTATATTGATCGGCTCTTTATGCAGTGCAGTTTAAAGATCGTGCGCTAATAAATTATTTATTAAGAAACTCATTGTGTTTTATGGATTATTTTATCGTTTATTATCGTACTGGAGGACTTCGATTTTAATTGTCTTTAGTAAACTGTTATCATTAAAGATTCGTCGTCAATATCGTGTGTGCGAAATGAAATCATCTAATTTTGTTTCTTGTTTGTAATGTGACTAGGACTATTCTAAATTCCTATCAGAATGGAATGATGGAATTTTATTTATCGCATTTAACGTAATGGAATATTTATACTAAAATGACGCATTTAATACTAAACACATGATGATATAATCCTTTTTAGGAAGGTCTCTTTGACAGAGAATAATACGTAAAGGAAAAAACTTGTTAAATATTGCGCAACATTCGATATCCGGCAGTCAAGATTTAAAAGAGACCTATAGAAGAGATTAATCAAATAAGAGATTAAATTTTAGCATAGAATGTTAACAAAATTGCAAGAGAAATATTTGGTGATGGTGTTTTAACGATGAAATAGTAAAGTTTTAGATTAGTAAAATCAGTTTTTCAGATAAATGACTATAATCTAAAACAATAACTATGATTAATAACAAGAACATTAAAAGAGGACGTGTGTTGCTTTTTAAGTTTTTTATACGCTTTTCATTTCACGTTAATATTCAATCATGGATTATAAATTAAGATTTCTAATGCACTTTGGACGATCGAAACAATGCTAAAAGTCATATTCGATTACGTACCGAGCGCTTTCATAAAATCGTCGAAGTTTTCGCTACTGGAGAGCTTGTAACGTTTTCCAAGAATGTCGTTGATGGACATGATGTTTGAGGAAATGCTTCCGGTAACACGCGGAGAACGAGAGGAGTGGCTGAGACGCAAGATCGGTCAATACAATCGGGAAACACGACCGACACCTGATGCAATCGACACGACTATGTGAACTGAACGCAGGGACCTCAGGGTGAGGACGGGAGTGCCTAGATACGAAAACTCCATCTCCCCCGAACTATTTCCTTGTCTCTTTCTGTCTTTCGTTCGCTCTCCTCGTCTCTCTCACACTCGTCGTTTGCTCTTTCCATCTTCAATACCAGGGTCGTGCTCCCTCTCTCTGTACTTCCTCCTTCTGCCCCCACCCGTAGCCGCCCTTTTCTGTCGTTAACTCGTCCCGTCTCTCTCTTTCTTCCATCTCCATCCTCTTTCCCCTTACGGTCCTTGCGCCCTTCCACTAGCAAATTCGAAATTTCTCGACTCGCTCACACCCGGATGCTTCCCCCTCTTCGAAATCTATTCGCACAGCTGCAGCGCAGGACACCGGTACGGTACCCGATGTCACATACTGCGTAATGTTCATCTCTTTCTCGCTTACGTAATATGTACGTCGATTGTGCATTTATCCCTTTCACACGTGAATGAATGACATATCGGACAATAAACACAACTCCGCTAATAAGACAAATTCTAAATCCACCGCGACAAATTATTATATTGATCCAATAAATATGATTACTAGAGAGCGACTACAATTTATTATGACTTTAACATGTAATTTCAAGTATTAAAATAGAAAATATTGTGATTAATGTTAACAATTTTTCTTTCCAATTGAAATGCAATAAGCAGTTTATTATTAGTTTAGGATATGCGTTAGACAGTTAAGATAAATTCAAGAATAACGCAAAGTCAAATGTATACTATCACATTCGTCATGCGTGATGCGACATACCCATATACACATCGGATCATACGATGCTCGTTCCTTATTGATCGTCGGATCAGTGTGCACGACTTTGCGACGAATCGTTCTTACGTTTGAATAAACGGCACTTACTGCGGATTAATGGCACTTAATGTCCCTTGTAATCATCTCATGATTTTACATTCACAAAGTTCTACATTATATTTTTGTTATATTATTTATATTTTTTTCATACATTCATACGAGACCTTATTTGTCACGACGTTAGTATGTACAATGTCGTGACGTCTTACCTCATTTCTTCATGACATGTTTTACGCGTTATCATTAAGATATAAACGATCTTTTATTACTTTATTCATTGCACCTTTTCTAATTTTTTCTAATATTGCATCAATATTAAATCGCCATCGGAGATATTACTTTAACTTCGTTCGCGTAAGTTCATTGTTTCGTAATTCATTGTTTTAAACAATGGGTAGTAATTTTCCTAACAATTTTTTTTAAATAAAAAGTCCATTAATTAAGATAGACGTTAAATTTATATGTATATAGAAGCGATGATTTATAGATAGATGGGATTTTCCAGATACATCGGAGCAATAACGTTAAAAAAATTGTAAGCGGCTCGTGATTCCACATTTGTCTAATATGGTAGCGTCGATTTCGTTCGCGATCCGCAACGACTGCCACGGTCGATAACGGTGCGGTGGAAACGCGTCGACGTAGCCGTAACCACGCACACACGCACACCGTACACGCGACTATATCGCATGATGTCGCGTAGCAACACGTGAATTCCGACACCGATGGCGGGGTCTTGGCAACATTGCGGCGGCGGGAATTCCGCATTCATGTCGAAGGGTGTATTTCTTATGCGAGCCGGCTGAAAAATCCATCGATATATCGATGATATTAATTCTGAGAGAACATCTCGCGAGATGTGCGCGGATCTCGCGATTTTCATCCGGTTGTTTGAGCGTATGTTAATTGTCAGAAGGAAGATAGAAATCGATTACAAAGAATCTTTACATTCTCTATATAGTATGTATGATATATGATTTATTGTATATGAGATATATATAAAAAAATCTCTTATGACTGTCATCTTTATTTTTGAAGTTTGTTATCAAATATTGCTCTATCTCGTTTCGATAACTGCTCTTATCTTTCTCATTGCAAGATGCTGACAACATCAAATGCATATCTTAAAAGTATTGTTCAATATATTTCTTTTTCCTCTGTGCTCAGTCTATTTATTCAACTTGCGTAGAGGTTGCCTTACTAATTTATTAATTTGATACCATTATCGTTTATTATTCATAAGGCATCTTCACAGGCTATTCTTAGCTTACTTGACATTTGGCAATTAGTATTTTTGTTAGACTAATAAGACTGCTGTCACACGTTTTGCATTTGTCAATCTTTACGAAACATTAAAGTATAGACTATATGCTTAAGAGTATAAATAAAATTCTACTAAATTATTGTCTCTATCTCTCTCTCTGTCTTTTATATTTTCATAAAATTGTACAATATATTTGTGATCCGTTGCAAACTATCTCTGTATTATGTCGGTACAAAAGTATTAAGTCTTTTGGAAAAAATAGATTGTGAAAAACTACTCGATAGAAAAAAATTAATACTAAAGCCGATGGTAATTATTTAATAGCCCCGTTTTTGTAAGCTTTACTTGACGAATATGATGACACGAGGAGAAAGTCTTTGCGATAACAACTTAATATTATAACGCAACATCCTGAAAAAAAAAAAAAAAATCTTTCCTGCACGCGAATATCTCGCGGCGTCTACTGGTGTCTGACTGGTCGTGATGTTGCGCGGCGACGCGATTCCGCCGTCTTTCAGCCCGCTGTCGACCCGCGCGCGGCTCGCCGATGCGCCTGGTCTGGCAACGTCGCGGGCGGCATAGATTCCGCTCCGCAACCGCAACCGCATTTGCCGGGTCGCCATGATACCAAAGCCGTGCTGGCCGTGCAACGGTTTCTCCGCAGTGACGCGCAAGCTGCTGCCGAGGACGCGACGTGACGCCGAACGTTGGACGCGCACGGCTGGAGCCGCCTGCGGCTGTTCCGTCGCCCATTTTGACCGCTTTCGCATTTTATACCGATTAATCGAGAATCACCGGTGTGATGGGAGAGCTGTTTTTTATGCGGCGAATTAATCATTGCGCCGATCGATCGTTTGCGTGACTTTTTAAGTTCGACTTCTTTTCACGCTTCAGTTGAAAGATTATTCTTCCATCGCCGCTTTCTGAGAGTAACGTAAAGATTCTTAGATCCATCCGCGCACATATTCGATTTCGATCGCGAAAAAATTTTCATTTATAGTCCAATCATCTCGCTGCAGAAGGTGCGAGATCGAATCGGGAAGCGAAAGGAAGAAGGAAAATCAAGCGAGAGATCGAGGAAAATCTTGAAGCATGTTTGACACGGAGAGGTTTATCGAGGAGATAGAGAGGCGACCGGCGATCTACGATGTGAATCGCGGCGAGTACAACGACCGTAATGCCAAGATGACTGCGTGGGACGAGGTCTGCCAGGTGATGGTACCGAATTGGGCGCGCTTGACAGACGAGGAGAGAAACGTGGAAGGTATATAGCACACGGCGCGCCGCGATTGATCGATCCGGATTCCTCCGGCCGCGTTGCCGTCCGTCGAGCACGATGGACATTTAGGATTAGCGCGAATCGATATTTTCCACGCGGCAGTCGTGATTGTAAAAGATATCGAATAATCTTTACGATTAAACAGACTGCGTTAGATATCAATGTAGGAAAAAATTAAAAAAAGAAAACTTTAATGTTTCTGCGTGATTGCATGCTTGAGAAGATGTTAAGAAAAAATGCATTTTAGAATTTTGTAATATTAATTGACATTATGCATAACGTATTTTATTAAGTTTCTAAATTTAAAGATATTTACGAAGCAATATTTAAGAAAATTTAGATTTTTATTTATTTTTATTTTTTCGGAATCATATTGGCATTAACATTAGTTAGTATCCCTGCGTATTCATTTCTGTTTTTATCAAAAAAGATTTTTCGGATATCTTGAAACTTTTATGGGGATCTCGCTCTCATTGCGTATTTGAGAAATTTTTATTGTTTTATCATAATCTTTGTTTATATCGATGTCCTGAGAATAATTTTAGATAAACTATCGAGCTGTGATATTTTTAGAGAAAAATTTGCGCGGAAAATGGAGGAATATACGAGATTACTTTATGAAAGAGCTCAAACTTCAAAAATCGCAAAAGTCCGGACCTGCCGGACGAAAACGGAAGAAATACATGTATTTCGATCGATTGCTGTTTCTTATGCCGACGGTGGAAAACAAAAGGTATCATCCGTCGATATTTATGACTAAAGATTAATATAATTGATACGTAATAATTTAATTAACATTCGAGTCTCTTTGATTTAGAAGTTCTGTGATGATCTCTTGCAAGTCGGAAGAGAGCGAAGGCGAGATGGACAACCCCGTGATCGAGGAATACGATCCTCTTTCTCAATCAGGCGCTTCCGTAACAGGCAGCAGAGAGTATCTTCAAGCAGGCACTCCATCCTACAAGGTGTGTCCACGTTATTCGAAACAGCTCTGCGAGACGTCTTTTACGCCCTTCGACAACGAAATACACGACATCCTCTCCTCGCATAGCAGCCAACGCGTTACCCTCGATGAGGATGATTACGATAAAATGTTTCTCCTATCGTTGTTGCCGATTATTAGACAGGTGCCAGAAGAAAAGAAACTGGATGTCAGGATACAAATGCAACAAGTCCTGGCTATGGCGCTCCGCTCGTCTGATAATAAGTGAGTCATCTGGTATGTTTCCTTGGGGAGGGGGAAGGAAAGGAAAGGAAAAGAGTGAACACGTGCCGAGAGGGAAAAGATTTTACGATGATTTGATTATATCATTTACCTCTATCCCGTTTTAATATTTTATATATCTCTAATACGTTATTTTTTATGGATTTTTTTACGATAAAAATGAATTAATATTTAATATCGTCCTTCTCTTTTTTTCCTATAATATATAAAATTCAATTCGTTCTAATAAATATTTATTAAAGATGGTTTGATTATTATATCTCTCTTATTGCTTGTCATTATAACCATATGTTTGGCAAAAAAATAGTTTGAAATGTCTAAAATATTAACATAAGTTCTCCGATAATATAGACATGGCGTGATTATAGTACATATAGCATATACATATACGATGCAGATTTTATAGCTATAATCTACCGAAAATATATGTTTAAATATTATGTTTAAATATTTTAGCATAAGATACAAGATTATAAAAAAAAAACTCTAGAATATATAACTAATAAATTTTATACTATTTAAAATAAGCATAAATATATAAATATACTGTGATATTAAATTCTACTTGACAATCGAAGAAACAAAGTAACTGTACACGCAATATAGCGGAATCTTGTCTTGATGAGATGACTTAATTGAAATATATAATATCACACAATGTGCCACTCTTTATGTGTTAATTTCTCGATGTTTTGTGTTTTGTATATGATGCATATATGAACCTGAATTATTTTGTTGCATGCATTGTAAAATCAGTTACCGAGAGTCGATACTAGTATTCGGCTAATTTCCTAATTTATCGGATCCATTGATACGAGAACTTATCCATTTCTGCGAATTTTGCATATCGCACATGGACAAATATCGATTGATAGCAAACTTAATGTTATCAACTACAGATAATATCACACATTATTTTTTATCGAATGCAATAAACTTGCCAAGATATATATTTAATCAATTATAATAATAATTATAAAATAATTATAATAATAATTATAATAACTATCAAAAGAAAAGAGAATTTTATTGGATATTTGAATAAATCTGATTAATTGAAAGTTGATGCCTTGATTTTGCCAATACAATAGAATTGTTGATATACATTAATTTATCACTTTTTTATAAAAAAAAAGTTTGTGTGAAATTATTTTTTAAAATTTACATCAATCTTGGAAAAATATATAGCACATATGATTTCGCTTTCAACGTGTCCCTTTGTTAAATTGCTCGTAGAAGGCGGCGGTTGGCTGGGTCTTATAAATGACACGGTTCAGATAATCCTGATGTAATTTCTGTTGCTCGGCAAGCTGCAAATTTTCCTCTGCGATTTTCTTGTTAAACTCCCTAAAAAAATATAATTTAATATATGTATAAAGTACCATATTTTTTACATACTCCCAGCATGGATCTTGAATTTGTAAATATGTAAAGAGTTTTTAAACAAATGTAAGAAATTATATTTTTTTCTTTCAGTATATATCACTGTGAGTATTAATATTATTAAAAAATATAAGTATTTTTCTCTGTTTAGAAAGAATACAAGTATAAAAGAATTAGTCAAAAATAGTTGCAGAATCTTACGATTTTTTTTTATTTAATTCGCCCTCATACGAACGTGCAGCTTGAAGATGATTTGATTTTCTGAAAGAAAGACATATATTTGTAATTTTAATATTAATATTTTGGAGTTTATATGAGTATCGGCAAATATTTGAAATATATTCCGTTAAATTGAAAACACTTGTTCTGAATATGCTAATAATATGCGTATCATTATGGACTGCTATTTTATAGCATCATACATGACGCAGCCAGTCTTTATCTACAGATATGTATCATTAATGTGTATTATTGCAAAATTAAATATTTGGTTTGCCAAATTTTCGATTTAGTGAATTCACGCATCGTAATCCAATTGTTAAAAAATAATTGCTCTAATTATTTTTGAGAGATTATGGAATATCCCGAGATAAATAAAATAAAATAAATGACAAATATTTTTGTAAAACATAGCAATAAGTGATAAATATATTTTTGTAAAATATAGAAATAAATTTTCGTATTGCGAAATTTAACATATATAGTAAAAAATTGACAAAATAAGTATAAAAAAAGAATAAAATTAATAGTAAAATTATTTTGTAAAAGTTATATTGGATAGAAAGAAGATTAAATTTCTTAAATTCTGTTAATATGATAAAAAGTTCAATTCTTTTCCTCATACTAACTCGAATATCTTCCATTTGTTCCAGCTGAGCGTCCCTGAAGACCTTCAACTCATCCGCAGTCATGCCCTTGTATCGGTCCGCCAACGGCCTGTACGGACCGCGAACGCTCTCGGCCTGTTCTCTAGCTTCGGTGAGGAAATCTCCAGTCACGTGATTATAGATTTCCGCTTTCTTGTCCTCCTCATCTTGAATGGCTTCGCAGTGACGGCGGTGCTGCTGCTCCTCGGCCTGCAATCGAGCGGAAATAAATTCCACGAACCTGCCGTGGAGACGAAGAAAAAGGGCCAGGGACGCCGGCGCGAACGAGGAAATAGGATTAATATTGAGTTAAATACAACGACGGAAGGAAAAAAAATTGACGGCACTTTGTTATGGTTATCGGAGCAAATTATCGCGGCACTTTGCACGATGATGTCACGAGGTTTATTCATCGACTACGAGAGAATCGTGTAGGCGACTTTTATATCCTGCGGTGAGTTAAAATGTATGCAGACTACGCAAAAAAATTCTTTTGTTACATTGTCTTTGTGATAGATTACAATTAAACGTTTCTCGATCACTTTTATTCTCTTGACAAAAGAAAAGATTAACTATGGCAGAAACGTTTCTTTTCTCTGAAAATACATCTTTACAACAATAGTAGCATAAATTAACACCTATCTTAATTCTATAAATTTTTGAACACTATAAAAGAAAATTTTTTAAAAAATATTTTTAGATTAGCATTTATTTATTTTTTTCGTATAGTCTTTTTATTTAAACAAATTCAGATTTTTCTGTAGTATGATTTATATGCAAATTAGATCGGAATTTTCTTTTGACGAGGTCCGATACAAAAAAGAGAGACTGATTCTGTAATATATATTAGAAACTAAAAATGTGGAAGCGGAAACACACATATATAAATAGACAGCGCATATATTCTAATGTGTCAACATTATTATATCAAATGTGGCAATACTCAGATCAATCACTTTACTCACAAGAGTGGGCGCGTATTCAAATATAAATATTTTTATCTTTTTATTGAACATGGTCGACATGCTATTTCACAATATTATTTTTCGCGCGTAAATCAGTTTCTAATTGCAAAAAGCGATTTGCAAAGTAGCTTTAAACAATAGCCGCATCACACGCGGATCAGAAAGAAACCATTTCAAAGATCAGTTAACTTTCTTAATTTGTTAAATGAAATGGATTGTACGGGTCTCTGATCTTTTTCGCATCGGATTCCGTCGATCAAAGACGTAAATAGAAAATATTCTATACCAGAGCGCGATTAAATGTCGCCGTTGCTTCGTTCAACCTTCGTCGACATTCCTCCTCCATCCGTGCCAACATCATCCCGCGCTTGTCCCTGGAGAGGATGACTTCCTGATAGGCTTCCTCGGTATCTCGTCGTACCTTTTCAATCGCCTCGCGTTCCTCTTTTTGCTTCTGGATCCACCAACGCATCTGCTCTCTCTGTTCTTTCAATCGCTCGTGAAGATTGCGATCCTCGCCCTCGAACCTGCGCAGCCGTAATATTTTATTGTTCCTTCTCTCTTCTGCGATTCTTTACGTTCATTATCATTGCGCCAGGGTGAGCAGGCTGTTAGTTAAATTATTATTTGCTTCGAGGATCCTTACGACAAATATAGAATTCGATTGACCGTACGGAAAAAAAGAATACATACTATTATACTATACATAATAATCGTGATTTAGAGATTAGAATAAATCTTTCCACGATAGGCTTTGATATTTTGATTTAAGAAAATTTTAACAAAGACCACCGAGAGTCACTGATTATAGGGAAAAAAATAACTTCATAAATGTTGCGCACACGCATTTTTCTATCTTCTTGGAAGGCCGAGATAATCGTGATTTAGAGATTAGAATAAATCTTTCCACGATAGGCTTTGATATTTTGATTTAAGAAAATTTTAACAAAGACCACCGAGAGTCACTGATTATAGGGAAAAAAATAACTTTATAAATGTTGCGCACACGCATTTTTCTATCTTCTTGAAAGGCCGAGATAAACTTCTCTCTCTCTCTCTCCCTCTCTCTCTCTCTCTTCCGGCACTTTTCTCTTATACTACTTATTTATTAGTGGAATTAATGGGATTATTTACGCACTTCTGAGCAGACGCTGGTCCCAAGGTCGGATCATCGTCATCGACTGGAAGCGATTTCTTTAGCGTTTCGGGATCATATAGGTCGTAATCTCGACGGTCCTCGACTCGTTGATGCACCCGGCGAAAGCACTCAATCTCCTTGTTTATTCTTCGTCTTTCCTGCGAACAGAAAAGCGTTCTCCACCACGATCGAGCGTGTTTTATCGCGACGCGGCACGTAACTCCGAAAAATTGCAAGTACCAGCTGTATCGAGCGAACATTCCCGCGTAATTATCGGCATTGACGGCACTCGATTACCTCCTCTTGCTGCCTCTCCAAATGCACGGCGAGCTCGCTGTTGCGAATAAGCGCTTCATCCAATTGACATTCTTTCGCCTGTTCCCACTTATGCCGCCGCTGCTTTTCCTCGACTTGCTTATCCAAGAATATCTTGTCTATCTGTAAATGTCAGGGAAACAATCGTGCAAATACATAGTATCATATTGAAGCAACTTTTCATACGTTAAAAATTAACAGTTACATCAATCTTGCGTGCTGTATTAAATGACGCTTGTGTAATTTGTGACTTAAGTATGAAGAAATAACAAAACGTATAAAGCGAGATAAATTGGTCGAAAATATTTAGTTAAGCAGAATTTTGTTTAATGATTTAAAAAAATTACAATTCAAACTTTATTAAATAAAATTATTTAAAAATTGAAAATTTGAATGAAAAAAATAAGAGATACAAAAATTTAATAAGAGCTCTCTTAATTTAGAGATGAGATTTGATTCTTACTCCAATTTTCCTAACGCGAGGGTTAAAGATACGCAGTTTTCTCGCTTCTTCGAGTTGACGTTTACGTTCTATGGATGCGGCGATCTTGAGATCCTCCGGAGTGGCACGTTGTTGAAATTTCAGCATTTCGGATATTTTTTGTAAGAAATTTGACTTTCTTACCGCGCGTGACAAGGTTATATATACGACGACGGAAGACGAGAATATCCAGACCTTTCGATTTTCGACCTCGAAACCTCGAAGTTTCCAGCAGTTCACCTTTGTTACCATGGAGAGTTTGCTCGTCAAAGAGAGGGTTACATGTAGGGATAGATTTTGATCGCACAATAATCGTTCAGAATAAAGGGGAAAAATAAAATCGCGAAATTACAATTCTGAAATAGGATTTAAAGAACAATACTCCTTAGTAATTTTTGAAAAAACGCGCTTGATCGAGCGAAATTAATTGTAGGCGATACCAACGAGTCCACAAAACAAAAACAAAAAAGTACGCGATAATAATTGAGATTAATTTAAAATACAATGAACAGGAGAAGGAAAAAAATCTTATATACATTTTTATATTATATGTTTTATTTTTATGCGTTAAATGTTTCGTGACGGCGATAAATTGGCTGACATATGCCGTTTTCCTTCTCTCTTTCTCTCTCTCGACGCTCGTTTTTGCGACTATTGTGTCACTTTGTTGTCATTCGACGGGACTCGAATGATGAGACAGTGACAAGAATCGCTTCGTGTATTTTTGTCTTAAGTTAAGTATATATTCTGAGCAAACGGACAGCAAGTGTGAATTTTCGGACATTCGCGTTCATATTCATCATTTGCACATTTCTTTTACATTGTACTAAATATTCTCGTTGTGATTATTTATACTGTGCACGATTTTTCTTTGATGTACCGTCTCATGAGTGAATCGGTCCGAATGTAAAGCTGACGAAAATTTCGTTCGTGCACATCTTTTTTGAACTTTAACAACGAACATTCGCATTTGCTATTGATTCATGTTTCCGCGAAATTTAAATTTAGTGAAAGAAAAATATTTTAGGCATTTGACATGGACGAATTTTAATAAAATAATATTGATAGAAGGTGTTGATTGATATCAACTTCTGCAGAATTGATATTATTGGAAGATTAATTTAGACGCGGTAGCAGGTGCACGCAATGACATAACATCGCTCAATAATTTGTATCTCTATTTCTTGTTATATTTAAAATAGACCAGACTTTCATTCAGCATAATCAGCATAAAATATATACAAGTGGTTCCTTCAAACGACCATGTAAATGCAAACGATACGTGTTTACGCTTCTTTACATGTTACAGTATTGGCAGAGTGAACTAAATGTGTTAATGGCATTTTGAAGGAGAGTCATTAAAAAAATAATAGACAACACATTTAATGACGCGTTACTTCTTAATGTCGAAAAACGCGTTTTTAACAAATGATTTTATTTACTGCTTTTCAAAAAAGATCACTCGCTTTTGCGAGCAGACGTATCTATCGCTTGCCCGTTCGATTTATTAATTTCTCTATTTGACGGGCGATTCTGTTTGATGGCTCTCTCAAGTTCTCTTTTATATTCGGTAATTACAGCTTTACGATCAGTATACACGGTGATTTTAGTGTTGCCATTGCACGAACTTTGTTAATATTTAACTTTGGCCATATGATTAACTATCCATTAAAAAAAAAAAGATGCTCGTTGGCCGGTAATTATTCAGCTGTTAAAGAGAGAGAGAGAGAGAGACATTTATGCGAGTGTGTCACATGGAGAGCAGCTGTCGATGAAATAAACATGTGTACTGCATTATCTGTTGACTTCATGAAATTCATTTTATTCTTCCATTATATAGACACTGTCAATTTGTCATCATGTTGTTGCGGTCATATATGTGATAACGAAAACAGAGGAAGGGAGATGTTGATTAAGCAATTTAATTGGGTTAGTCGTATCTACTTTTGATAAAACTCTCGAATTCTCATAAGTCTGGGACATAACTCACAGGGCCACATTAAGATATGACTTAAGTGGGCAATCTTTATTTGCTTAGAGATGTGAAAGTAACAGAAGAGAATGACATCATCTTTATTTTAATTAATAAAATCACAAAACTGCGTCACACAAAAACCGATTAAATTACGATGGATTTTATAGTGGAAATGTTTTAATCTTACAAAGATAATTATTCGTGCGAGCGAGATACATATTACGTAATAATAAAATAATTTTGTTGGGGAAGATTTGTCCAACATATCAAGGTAACAATTTTGATAAAATTATTATTTTATTACTTTATTTTTAAATATTTTTATACATTTAAACATGCATTTTGTTTCTGTTTTTCTCAACACATTTATTCAAGAAATTATTTGCAAAATCCTTTCTTTGGATATAGCTATATAATTTTTCAAAGGATTTTTTGTAATGCATCCGATTGGAGGATTTGTTTTTTAGTTGTATCCATAAATGTACTAAGAGTATAAATTGCATTCCTACTGTCTTAATAAATACGCGTGCGCCAATATTAAAAAGAGAGCGCATTGTTTTCCATTGGTGTCTTTATCTTTCTTTGATTCAGATTAGAAAGAAAAGACAACACTGATTAAAATTTTCTTCCTCTGTCTCATAAGCTGCGTGCAACGCTTGATCGGGACGAGGGAAGGGAAAAAGATAGAAATGTCCAATTTATATTTATTATATTACGTTTATAGTTATTATATTACTTAGAAAGTAAATTTTTTTCCCTTGAATACCAAATGCGTTCCAAAATTATTGAAAAAATTATGTCGGAATCACAATTTGTCATCAATTATATTCCAGAATACCGTTGAAAAAATATGAGAAGATCTCTCTCTCTCTCTCTAGGTTTAATCATGCGTCTCTCATAAGTCTCGCTTAATTAATTTCAGAGCGAGCACAATGCGTGTATCTCGTTTGCAAAATCGATTACTCGCGCGTTTGCATTACAACGTGCCGTGAAAACAGCGTTGCAATTTCAATCACGCGAAAAGACGATGCGATCGATAGATATGTATATAGTTAATCCAACCCGAATAGAGAGTTTATGTGACTATCTCCAAAGTATGTACCGCCATCTGTGTATGTATGCGTATTGCGGGATGAGAGTGCATCTTTAAGGGGGGTGGGAGGGACGCGAGGAGCCCGCGCGTTTATCGCGGTAACGTACTCCGAAAACTATCGTTGACAAACATTCTCGGTGATCCTGATAAGAAATCGCGCGTTGGCAAATTTACGGCAATTTGCGTCGCAGAAGTATCCATTCGCGATATCGCGATGCGCGCTTCGTTCCACGGTGGGAGAGAGAAAGAGAGAGAGAGAGAGAGAGATAAGGGAGAAGAGAGAAAGAGAGAGAAGCTGCGCCCGCAGCATGGCGAGACTCTCAGGCGCCTGCGTGGCCAGGTGACGTCATTGGCGAACCGGGCAGCTCGCTGTCTACCAGACACTCAGTCTCGCCTCGACGCTCGAGGAGATTGTTTGTGTTATTTCTTTATCGCGCTCCATACACTCCGATCTGCCGTCTCGGAAGCTGACGCCCGCGCGATCGACGTCGAGATCGATTCTTACATTAAGATTCTCATCGGCAGGAAGATTTAAAAAGTGCGAGTATAACGACAGGTTAAATCGCCGATCGTTCACCCAAGACACGCGCAACTTGAAGATATTCTTACGCAAGACTCACAGGACAGATTAGACGTTGAGTAGAAAAACGGTGCCGAGTTGAGAAGAAGAAAGTTTCTCTGGGAAATCAATTTTTCTCGTTGGAGCTGGTTCGGGAAAGTAGGACTGTGGAAATAAAGATCGCCGATATCGCGCGAACGCGACTCGCCGTAGAAGCGGAGTGATAAACACGTGCGACTAACGTGAACCATCGACGATCGTACTACATCGTTCGTTTCGCGGGGATGCGCACCGAGTGAGATAGAGAATCCCTTCGTATTCATCCTCCCGGGATCCACCCGGACGTCCCGGATGTGATTAGTGCACCGTCGACGCGCGATTGATTGACTTTACTATGAACTCTGCTACGATTATTATGAGAGGATGAGCTGCTCGGTGAAGATCTCTTGCGGCAAGAGCTGGAGCCCGCAGCGCAGGATCAGCTCCCTGGCGGAGGAGACGTGCCCTTCGAATGCCGTCGTGTCCACCAGCTGCGCTGTCGGCCTCCAGGCCGCCCAGCCGTCATCATCGACATCGAGCTCGATGACCACGACCAACACCACCTCCACCACCACCGTCACCGTAGCCTTCAACAACCCCGTGATCACAACTACCAGCACCACCACCATCACCACCGCTGCCGCCGCCGCCGCCGCCGCCGCCACTACCGCCGCCGCCACCAGCATCAACGTTTCCGCGGTCGGTGGTAATCAGAGGGTCGTCCCACCACGCCCCGTCAAGTCGATCGCCGCGAAGAAAGGGGAGGACACCACGAAGCTGCTCAAGTACATCGACGATAACGTCATCGGCAAGAACGGCACGTTCTTCGGGCCGTTTGGCCGCAGGAAAGGTCAGTGATCAATATAGTAGTCGGACTTTGCCATCCCTTCTTTCGCGCCCTTCCCGTCACCCCCCCCCCCTCCTCCGCGTGAATGGCGTTCGCGTAAAGAAACGGGCGATCCTTCATGCGATTCAACGATCGCGATTATCGATGTAGAATATTAAATATTTAATGTTAGCCTGTTTCTTTCGGTTTTACTGCCGAGTCTCATTGTTCGCGAGAAATAGAGTTTCGTCTTTCTGGCGAATCATTGAGAAGTATCAAGATGATTAATACCCCGATCAAATTGAATACACTTGCTCAAGGTCGAAGATAATCTTCTGGAAATTTTTTTTCAATGCTTGAGAATGCGACACGGTGTCGTCTTTAGAATTATATATTCGGGAAATTATGTTATTTTAGAACATTTATATTTAAATTATTTACTATAAAATAAAACATACATTTGGTCTATGTTATAAAATTAAAAAATGTAATTTAAAATATAAATGACAATTTGCTAATAATTTCATGCTTTTTTAAAATTAAGATGACGCGATCTATGAGATCGCTGTGATTATTAGCCAAAAAAGAGCAAAATTATTTTACTGGATTAGAATAACAAGTATTATGGCGTGAGATTGTTGCGTGTTAGTTAAAGAATAATATACAATGCAATATTGCATATCATAATATTTGTTTACAAAATTAGAATGTAATTATTCAATATTGTTGTTTGCTGTAATTATTATCGATGGATTAAGATACAATAAAAAGCTCGTGAGTCACCTGCATAATGCATGAATATTAACAAAGTTTAAATTAATATAAATTAATATATAAAATTATAATTAATAATTCGAAGCTGATGTAATTTCCCGATAATTTCGCATGCGAATCAACTACAGGCGTCAAGTCGATAATGACGAAGTATTTACTTCCACGAGTTATCGTGGCGTAAGCCTTCGCCCGCACGATTGGGATACCCTCCAAATGCTGTTGGCGTATACCTTCCGTAATTCGATACTACTTCGAGTAGTAGCACGGAAACCCTTGCCGTGTTTCAAAGTATCGGCAATTAAGAGCATAAAGCCGTATATTTTTAGGCTCTGATCGATCACTCGCGAAAATCTTGTTGTTGACTCGCGGCCAATCAAATCGATATCGTATAGCTGGGCTATATCGACGCAGCAGCGATCGATCACGTGTTTAATGCGAAACTTTTTCCACGTCGTTCCGTCAAAGTCGTTCATTATCCATTTCCTGTTTTCTTTCTTTTTTCGTGAATATATACATATATGTATAAATTAAGCTCGCAGATGTACGGCTGTTTTTTATTAATCGAAATTAATTCTTTCACCGCAACGATCCAAACATTTTGTTTAAAACACACGAGTTTTATGAATCTATCCTTTCTTTTTGTTAAAAATAACATTTGTTAAAAATAAATTTATTACAGAATACAAACGAAGAGCAGATAAAAATATTTTAAAAAATTTAGATTTATTAGATGTAAACAAAAAATATTTAATAATAATTTGTTTTTAATAATAATTCATAATAATTTGTGATGATTTTTTTTTTCAGCTGTAACTTAAGAGAAGTTTACTAAAAAAATATTTTTCTTTAGAATATTAGTAACAAGTTTATAGAATGTATTTGCAATTAGTCGAATTTTTTAAACTTAGGCCATTTAAACATTTATAAATTCTATTAAGGAAAAAGTGTAGTAGTTTCAGCTACTTCTATAATCAGTATTCAAACGGTATAACAGTTGTTCGATACATGGCATTATAAGAAACAAGTTGCGGTGCGTAATGGTCCTGTAATTTACTCCGAGTCGATTTCTTCTAACAAGTCGAGTCAACTTGTTCTTATTAAGCGTATCTATAACATTTCGACGGACGCGAAAATATTCTTTGCTCTTAATTATTCAGCGGTTCCGTGCGACTGATTATTAGGGTGTCATTGTCCGAGAATCACCTGAAAGGCCACGTGCTACCTTGGAAACTCCACTGGTCGCCGCGATCAATAAAGCCCGCGTGAAAAGCGTCGCGAGAGACCTTGAACACGAAAAGAAAATGGGGTGGGGGGGGGGGAGGG